TTTTGGATTTGCTCAGGTTGGTGTTGGCCATTAGGCCCTGTTCAAATACATTGTCTCTTTTAAGCACTGCACATCCACAGACTAGGAACATGCAGCAGCAGACCATACAATCAACACTGACAACGCAGCTCAGCATCTTCCGCTATTCATTTATATACAAAACACAGGCGATTGCAGTATTGCACACAGTGCCACTACATCCAGGCATACATACCTCTGACCCAACCGTGCGTGTTGACCACCAGTGGGACACCCAGACAGAAGTACTTCTCCAGATAGCGGTCAACAAGACGACACACACAGCGCACATAGAAATCAGGCTGATTGGCTGGCGAAACATCTCCAAAGAATATGCTCCTGCAGCAACAGCAGATGAGAAGATGTCTTGACCAAGACATACAGTGATACTAGCAGGAAATAACTAGGCTCTTCTCCACAACTCAAACACGATGCAAGCTAGTATAGCATTGAAGTTGTTGTTTCGTGCCACAGGCAAGGTACTATGGTTTACATGGCACACATGCAGTCACGGGTTTCAATGGCCAATAGCGAGAATACATACCCCCCCTCCCCAAGCGTGTGTAACTCTCACATACAATGCTGCCTCTACAGGATTTCAAGTGGACATCCTTTTCTTCATGCAATGAATGCTCCCTGCAGGCACGATTCCTGACCTTGGTATAATACCAAGGTGTCAGCCCGCCGTGCGTGTTAACTGGTACACGTTTGTACAAAACGAAATGGCAATTTGTCCACCACCGGTCTAGGATAGGTTTGAAATGCATGAAAAAAAATGATGCCACCCTTGAAATACTGCACAGCACTGATAGTAGAGTTGCACATTCGGGGGGCATGTACTACTGCCAATAGACATCTATTTTGCTGAAGACTACAAAACTGTGCACATGCACTTATCTACAGTAGTACGTCTTCTTTGGTACGTCCAGTCTTACATTTCTGCCGGAACTTGATGGCAAAAGGGTGGTCCTGGAGCAACACAATGTGACAAGAAAAATGCAGAATTACCATCAATTTCCAATTCCGCAAGCAACGACGCCACATTGTGATAGCAGTGAGAAAGCGAGTAAATTCTAAATTCTAAAAAAAGTCCTGTCAGAACTCGTAAGTCTGGACTAAAATAGGCAAAATGCATGCACAAGTACGCAGCAGATTGCGTGTGATAGATGAGAGTTGTGTGGAAGACAAAGTGAGCTACTTCAAAGCGAGACCTTACCTATTAATGGTCGTGTAAGACAATGGAGGGACAACATTGCCGGTGGACTGAGCTCAGTTTGACCCACGTCTGTTTCGATGAACACAACGCGTTCGTGACTACAAGACATTGGGCACACAGATGTGTCCACGTCAGCACGAAGAAAGACGACAACAGAATACAAAGCTGGAATTACTACTCCACTAGTCTGTATGTTGTTACCTGCAAGCTTGCCAGGATTGCATTGCCAAAAACATGATACTTCGAAGTAGTAGCGCAAGTAGCACATGGAACGTGCTGAAGATGCAGCAGGGCCAGCCGAGTGCAGATACTTCTTTTGGAAGTAGAAGGAAACCATCAACAAGCAAATGCTCCTTAGCACTACAACAGGCAAGTGTAGGTGCACTCACTGCACTGCACACACACACAATGGCTACACCAAGATTTGGAGGCACTGCATTACTCCCATTAGCCTGTGGGATTTCCTGGCATGCTAGCCAATACTGTCACAGGGATTTCCTGAAATGCTAGCAGCTAAGCCAACACAACAAGATACACACAAGTCCAGCAAATACTAGTGCTTACCTATTCAATAAGGAATTGACAAGCAGGCGACCAAATGACGATTTTCCAACGTTCGTACCGCCACAGACCATTGCTGATGTTGGGCCTAAGGGAAAAGGTGGGCGAATGAAAAGATAGCAAAAGTAGACAGCACTTGAGTGAATATTACACTCATCACTAAGAAGCACAGCAAATTGAAGAAAGCATGCCAGCAGCCACAAATCTAAATCACTCTTTCTACTACAAGTAGCTGATTCCAGTCAGGAATGAGCTCGTAGTAGTGCAGCATACATCCTGTTGGAAACCATGGCAAGATCGATCCAACAACTGCACTCACCCGAATGGGAAGTGATGGACTTGATTGTTTGCTTCCACGGAGTATGGAAGGTGAACCGACTGCAAGATGCCCGACTACACTGTGTGTAGAGCAAATATATATAGCATAGCAAAAAGGCAGACTAGTTACATGCATCATAAGATTCATAACTACAGTAGGCCTACTTATAATAAAGACAACAAAGATCTCTGGTTTTTAGCCAGATGGGCTTATTAGAAAAGGAAGGAACACAGACACAGACACATTCACACACATGCGCATGTACACACACACACACACACACACACACACACACACACACACACACACACACACACACACACACACACACACCATTGGACCATTGGACGCCCATCGCCTCCGGCGATGATAGCGATGCTACAGCAGAAGCCATAGCAGCTTGTGCCGGGATTGCACCATTCAAAAGCTTGCAAGGCTGAAGAATTGACCGCCACTATTCAGCCTGGTCTACACCACACAGCTATGAAGTGGCTTTTTCTGGCCAGTGAATCCCTACTTTTTGGTCTTTTTCATATTTTTTTCCACACACACATCACACCACATACTCCGGCATGCACTGGCTGCTGGTAACCACCCAGGAGAATGAAAGAAAAGTCAGGAGGAGTCTGAGAAAGAGAAGAAAGACGTGTGTGACCATAATCGTCGGGAGTCGAACCCGCAGCCTCTCGATTGGAAATCGCTGCACATACCACTGCACCATATGGGACACACACACACACGTAAACACAAACTCACCAGGGCAAAACCCGGCCACAGGCGGCGGCTCGAAAGCGGCGCGGCTGCTTCCTCATCGTCTTCGCCGTCGTGACCGGCACGGGAATCAGCAGTTGCAGATGAACTGGCACTTCTAACAGCACCATCCACCTGGTCACTGCCAGTACCGTCTGCATCTGACCCGGGTGCAGACTGTCCTCCCCTGCTGTCCCGCTGGGAAAGGGGAACAAGGACAAAGGAAGAGAAGGCCATTGCCTCATTAGCACTACTGATTGATAGCATTGCCCTTACTGTGCTCCGAGCTGCATGTGCCCACCAACAGTGGATGTCTCTGTAGGAGAGCGGCTTGAGATATCCTTGACTCCATAGGATTTGTCTTCTGCTCACAACTCTGCTGATGTACTTTGTATTCGCTGGAAGCAAAGTCTACATTTCAGGCAAGTTTCCGGATACTGAAAGATTTTGGCGGCGTTAATTAACGCTGTGCCTTGTTTTTTTTCAGGCAGTTTGTACATTCGAGCACAAATATGTCAATGAATAGCATCATACCACCTCTACGTGACACCGATGACGAGAGAAGTAATGAAGTGTATGCCTAGCTGCCAAATCATGCAAAGAAAGCACAGCGTCCAGAGAAGGCCATTGCCTCCTTGACAAGCAGAAGCACCTTCTGAATACCTCATCTTGCCACTGGTTTCTGCGGACTCGGCTGGTCTTGCCGAGTGCTGAGTATTGCCTATCAAATCATGCCAAATTGACAATAATTATAGTGTATTTACGAAGCATAGGTTTACAAGCCTGCGGAGAACTAACACATCACATCCCTTACAGAAAAGAAGTTTCCTAGACCACATGTTCCTGAGAGCAGACGATTCACATCATCGCAATGCTCTTCAAGTTGCAGCACCGACACGATTGATTCCTCCGCCTTGGTCAGCCTGCGCAGGAACTGTATCAGCGTCCGGCGATCTTCCAGCTGCAGAGCCGAGCGCTTGGCGATGTCTTTCGCCTCCTTCTGTCCCTGGCTTACGAGTGGCGGCTTGACTTCGGTAAAAAGGAGCGGCTTCTTTGCTGCATGCACTGCATGGCAGGGGAAGCCCGATGGACTTTTCAGGACGCACGAGGTTTTCTGCTCGCATGAAAGCTGGTAGCCATTGACTTTGACGCAGCCAGCGAGTACTGTCAGCTTAGCGTAGCCCTCATAGCAAATAACCTGCAGAAAGAAATACAGGCATGAGCAACTGCAGTTAGATTTTGGGACGCACTGCACCCAAAGCTGCTGTGGCATAGCTCTTTACAGTCTGCCTGCTGAAGACCGTAAATGCATTTTTCAGCGCGAGCTTTCACTACAGTGGCGGCAAATGAAAGCCGACCTTACGAATACAACAGCCCCGGGACAGTGTGACTCTAGCACTACAAACGTGCCACGCAGGAACATGGTTCTGCTATATTCATGTCAAACTTCACTTGCCATTGCCATGTGAGAAGTAAGTACATTGTAGGCCCAAGAAGAGGAGCATAGCGCCTTCTCTCTCTCTCTCTCTCACTCTCGCTGCCCTGTATGTTCAGTGGTGTGAAGAGGGTAATGACATCGCCACGTGCTGTACCCTCGCTGACACGTACCATGAATACCACACAATCATGCTGGTAACGTGGTATGGACTTGCTGCTGCCAGTTCGGTTTGGCGTTTTAGTGTGGGCCACCACTAGTTATTGTGCCCAGCTGTTGCTCGCGCTAGGTGATAATGATCATTGCAGTGCTGATTGTTGTCAAGGCTAGGATTCAGTATCTGTGTGTATGTGTGTGTGTGTGTGTGTGTGTGCGTGTGTGTGTGTGTGTGTGCGTGTATGTGTGTGTGCGTGTGCGCGTGTGTGTGATGCTTATTAATAATCTTCATTCGCTTTTGATGGAAATTTTCATTTGGTACATTGGAATTCTGGGGAGGGGGCTAATTCCAGCGTTCCAACATCGTGGCGAAATACATAATCAAGCTTTTAATTTCACTCACTGGTATAATAGTAGGCGTAATAATAATAATAATTGCTACTTGTACACTACAGATCACATCAGCAGACAAAATGAACTAAATTATAAGCACGTACCTGATCGGGCTCAAGAGCCAGATACTCTTTTCCATTTATTTCTATCGAATGAGTATCCAGCAAGTACACCATGGCAAAAATCAGGCTACTTCGTAGATATCACAGGTCGAAGCAGGAAAATGCCAGGAGTTATTTGATTCTGTTACTTTTTCGGATCCAGTTACTGTTTTCTAAAAATATCATGTCACACGACTTTTTCCATAATTTATGCATGCAATGCACGCGTGATAAAATAATCCGCTAGGCGCTAGCTAGAGCCATGTATACAGTCATGTAGTGGGCGTGACGCGCTAGGTCTACACCGGCATGCCGGCACCAGCAGGTGTTGTTCTGGCCTTGTCGGCGCTATGCGCTATATACGCTAGCGAACGATTTTGAGTGAGAAAACGAGCACACACGAGCACTGATATGATGTCAGTGACGTGGTTCACCGGTAGATTCTACGCGGTGCACCGTCCGTTCAGGTCAGTGTTACATGTTGCAGCTAGCCAGGGAGTAGTACAATACCGTACTACATGTACTCCCTAGCTAGCTGCAACACTGCCAACAGGCCACAGCGTACATGCACAGCTAGCCGGGTCAGCAGATCAGATCCATTTTTACAGAAACACCACGGCTTTTTTGTCATGAAAGTCGTGCATTTACATTTCCACAAGCAGATATCTGTGAAGTTGTTATTGAAGGAGGTCAAAGAAAGGTGTGTGGGCACATTATCCGCAAGGTGGTGAGTCTGACACCTGGCCCAACTTTGGGTACTGCACTAGTTGCCTTTTGCCGAGTAGTGCGGATAGTCCTTGCTTCATCAGCTGTCCGGACAAGGAAGAAATCTGCCGGAGACGGGAGGGCAGGCACCATGGTACGTTCCCCTGTGGTGGATACAGTTTCAAATTTGTCAGTTTGTTGAACTCTATTATTTGCCAAATTAAATACTTGGCTGAGATGATGTTGAAGCTGTTTTTACAGTACAATTGAGTGAGTGTGTGTGCAATCATGAAAACAAATGCCGCGATGCACGGCCGGCAATCTTTCCTAACCTGAGGGGGGCCATTCGTCGCATGGGGAGGTGTATGTAGGCTTGCCCACTAGAAGTTTCATTTAGATATGTTTTTTGTTGTTATAATTTCAAGAGTCTTTGAATTAATGCCAATAGATGATATGCCAAATAACGTGCAACTAGACTTGAGGGCATCGCACACAAGTTGCATACACATTATACTACAATGTGTACACAATAGACCCTGGCCTGAGCTCTGCAGGAATACAAGTCACAGGTAACCGTACAACTTTGAACTTTGTATGTAACTACTCTGCAATGCCCTCTCAAGTCTAGTTGCACGTTATTTGGCATATCATCTATACACCAAGTACACATTGATGAAGTGTGTACTGAGAGCGTACAGACTGGTAGAACGATTTGGGTTTGAACTGTTTTAGATTTGCAAAGGTACAAGTCTCGCGAAAGCACCCATTTCGTCCCGAAAATATGTACGGGTGATATCACAATGACATTGGGCACGCGATTTATTATATCGAGAAATGATCATGTGGATGTCAGCATTGTGAAACTATGACTGTATGATAAATTCAATTTTTAGCGAATCTATCCACACTTTTGTAGTGTCGAATGGGACGTATGCATCCATTTCCCTTCGTTAGGTTTTGCGGGGCAAGTCCATTACAACCGTACACGCTGTGATACCAGCTCTGCATAAAAGGTCATGAACTTTATGAGGTCATACTCATAAATGTACTATAACAAGTTATACCTGCCAAGTATGGGGTAACTTGCCCCGCAAAAAGGTGACGGCCATCTTAGATGCATACCTCCCATTGCAGGAGGTCTCAAGTAGACTGTATTCATGAGGCATTACTGCCTATTACTGGCTGTTTTTGGTTTAGTTGATAGGATGGCTGCACCTGCCAGAGGAACATATGGTTTCACCTGTGTTTTTCCACAACAGGCAAGTATTTCCGGTAATTTAGGTCACGTGCAAGATGTTCAGTTGATTGAAGGCTATATCCCACTCGAGACAGAAGAAAAGTCAGATGCAACATGGGATCCGGTGAGCAAAAAGACTGCCGTTTTTCTCTTTGTCTGTCCATGTGTGTGTGTGTGTGTGTGTGTGTGTGTTTGTGTGTGTGTGTGTGTGTGTGTGTGTGTGTGTGTGTGTGTGTGTGTGTGTGTGTGTGTGTGTGTGTGTGTGTGTGTGTGTGTGTGTGTGTGTGTGTGTGTGTGTGTGTGTGTGTGTGTGTGTGTGTGTGTGTGACACATAAGCATGCCTTTGTGCATGTGTTACATATAGAGGTTATGCGAGTTCATCATCTTTTGAAATGCCTTGTGTGGCATCACAAGCTTTGGTTTGCCTGTAGTGCACTCCATACAAGGCATGTGCATGTACAGTGATGTCCTTTGCCAAACCTCTATACGAATGCCTCAGTAAAAACACGATCTGCGCATCAGCTTGTATGGTCCCCTGTACTGCTGCTACTTGCACATGCATTCACAACTTTGTATGTGGTTTACCAACGTGGCTATGGTCAATCGCAGTACATTGGCAGCCCTGCCATGATCCATGCAGTGCAGCTTTAGAGACAGCAATCATTTCTTTGTGTTGTCTCAAGGTACATGTACAGAGCTGTGCTTTTGTGTATAATTGTCCAAGCTGCCATACTTCGAAGGAGTCAAGCAGATTCACAGGCTAACCCACTTCTGGGGCAACATAAAGTAGGATTCACTATATCACTTTCTATGGTTCGACACAGAGATACCTATCGGGTGCTTACGCATGCTGTCGCAAGGCCTCTGCCATAGAAGTTGACCAAAGTTCAACTTTTGGGACATCCAACACATGACGTACATCAATGGAGTACAGTTTTCTACGCTGGGTGGACAAGCAGTACATGTGCTATACACTGTGTTTAGACGTCCCAGTAACCGTCACGATTGTGAATTTTGGGTCACGACCGCCGCTTGTTGCATTTCTCTCTCTCTCTCTCTCTCTCTCTCTCTCTCTCTCTCCCTCTCCCTCTCCCTCTCCCTCTCCCTCTGATGTGTAGATTAGTAGATAGCTTATAACAGTTATAGTCAGTGGGTGTGCAGGCATGTGTGTGCTATTATATGCGAGTGTGCTTCTTAATGTCAAACTCAATGTTCTTGTACTGCCGGTGTTTGTATACAGACTATGCTTATCAACGAGATATTTTCCGACATCCGGCCATGCCCGGACTATGCGAAACGGGTTAGTGCCTTAAATTCTACACTATGTACCCCACTTTCTATTATGCACCAGTGGAGTTGTTTGGTAGTGCAGTGCATTGGAGTTGTGCTATGGATATACAGTTTGGACAGCCCAATGTAGACAATGTGTTTGCTGCAGGGCTTTTTTTATGTACACAGCAAGACAAACAACGCATCCAATGCGTGTTTGCGTTGACATTTTCACACTCCTACAGACAGCACAGGTGGTGGTGTTTTTGTTCCGCACTGTACTGCAGTAGCCCTTCTCTCTCTCTTTCTCTCTCTCTCTCACTCACTCTCTCTTTCTCTCTCTCTCACTCGCTCACTCACTCATCTCTCTCACACATCATTGTGCTTTTGCAGAGTCTTGGCCAAGTTGCGACGGCTTCCCAGTCAGTTCCCATGTCTGGCCTCATCGATAAACTGCCATCCGGCGTGGAGAAGCCCAGCTTGCTCAAGGGTTGGAAGAGGAGATTTGCTCGATGCCAGAACTGCAACCTGTTTTATTACGAGGTCAGACAGACAGGTTGTATTTGCTTCAATATTATTAGGTCACATCTATGGCTTGTCGATGGGTTTTGTATCTGGTTCAAATTCCTTGTTTTCTCTATACCACCTCCAAGGCACGAGGCATGTTTCTAAACTGTTGCCATGGATGACAGATAGTTATATGATTGAATCGTCCTATTGATCAGAACGTTGATAGCTTTGCTTATTTGTACTGACAAAGCTGGAAACTTTTTGCACTTACTTAGGTGACAGCCTTTGATTGTGATATCTTTCTGATGTTTTTTTGGACAGGATAATCGAGCAACTAGACCACTCGGCATCATCAAACTCGCCGGTGCCAAGGTACTTAACAGTAATTTAAAGTTCGTCTACTAGTACTTCTCTGCATGTAGATAATTCCTGACTTCTCAAACTCGAAAACCTGTGTCTTCACTGTGAATAACGCCATATTCCACTAAAGATTTGGGCCTGGCCCACCATCGGGGTGAAAATAAGGACCTTTTTGGAGTTGGAGAAGTTAAGAGTTATACATCTGTAAATGGCTGCGTTGGAGTTTCGAACAATTAGATAAGTTTATCTACATGCCTATTAAATTCTCTCTCTCTCTCTCTCTCTCTCTCTCTCTCTCTTTCTTCCCATGGCACTGCATGTTACTTCTTGTGTCATTAGAGAGGTTCCGGAGTACGATTTTTCGTGCCAAAATCCGTAGAGGCTAGCGCCTCTACGGATTTTTATACGTCGATTTCGAGCAGTGAAATGTTCCGGAGTACGGAACGTATGTGTTTGCCGTCATTGCCTAGGTTACGATTGCAGACACGTCACATTCCCGCGTTATGCCTTTTTATTTTGAAAAATTGTACCGAAATCAAAACTTCCCGTGGAAAATTGATGTTTCTCGTACCAAATTTGTACGCGAAAAATCTTTCTGCACCCGATGACGCAAAATCTCCATACGAAACATGGTTCGTATGAAAGCCAGTCCACACGGATTCTCCGTGCCGAAAAATCGTATGGAGCACGCCTGGAAAAAATCCGTAGCGCCCATACGGATTTTGGCACGGAAAATCGTACCCCGGAACCTCTCTATTGTGTAGTCTATTCCTTCATTCAATGACTAAGGAAACCTCGGATAGGCGAAGGTGGCCCTAGTCCATTCTGACGGGGGCGTGGAGCTTCACAACATCGATGCATGAATTGCAATGCTCCGAGTCAACCAATAATTATTTTGTATATGTGGTGCGGGTATCGGTGTGTGTGTCCAGGTGACATTAGCAGCAGACCACACGTTCAGGATCGTAGAAAAGGCAAGTTGTGAATACAACCTCAGCTGTGCTCCCGTCTTGAAATTCCACCCTTCACTCTCATACATCATGCTTGCTGGAATGAACATGTTCTCTCTTTGTTTGATTGCAATATGCCTTCTATTCTTTTGCATGCGCGCACACACAAACATACAGACACACACACACACACACACACACACACACACACACACACACACACACACACACACACACACACACACACACACACACACATGCGCACATTTAATTTTGCTTCTTTTTCCATCTCTTTTCTCTAGGAGAGTGGTACTCTGTTCACGTTCCGTTGTACCACGCAAGCTTTCGCCGAAGACTGGGTAGCTTCCATTAAAGAAGAGATGGGCAAGGCCGATGCTGTAAAGACCAATACGCCAGAGAATAGTGTAAGTCCTAAATGTTTCTCTCCGTGTTGTAAACAAGATCCTACTCACATGGCCTATGTATGCTTCCATTCGGGTCTCTCTGTCGTGGGATGTAAATGATATCACAGTGACGAGTGAGAGGTACTCACTCCTACCTAACGGTGAGGATGTGTTTCAGAGCCTTTAAAAAATAAATCATCAGTTTGACGGAGTGAAAGCCTTTTTAACAATTTTTCTGTGTGTGTGTTTGTTTGTACGTGTGTTCATGAATTTCTGTACTGTAGGTTTCCACAATTATTGTCGACATTGGCAGTTCTGCATGCAGGGCTGGATTTGTTTACGAAGGTGGTAAGTGTTATGTCCCTGCTTTGTTGATCCGTACTATTATGATCATATCAATGGTCATTCCTTTGTTGTGTTTTTATGTGACATTTTTTGTATGTTCTTTATCATGATCATGACTTGATCCAAGAGGTTGGTGGCGGGTGGTGGCGTTCCTGCGGATGCGGAAAACTGGGCCTTTGGCCGAGTCTCACGCGAACCGTGAATTTTTTATTTTTTATTTTTTATCATGACTACCAGTATCTCTTCTTTCATTTGTTTGAGGGAGTTGAAACGGGAAAAGTCTGAGAAAAATTGACTGCCACCACCAGGACTCGAACCGGGGACCCTCGCATATGGTCAGCAATGCTCTACCACTAAGCTATGATGTAGTCGGCAGCCCTCACTGTTCCCACACACTTCACGTACAAACTCGCACACAGGGAGTTCCAATACATCAATATTCCTAAGCCTGAAATGTCCCTGGTTCGTCAAGTCCTGGTGGTGACCGCCAATTTTTTCTCAGGTGTTTCCCTTTTCAACACCCTCAATTCATGAATATTCTTTCTTTGTTTGTTTTTCTTCTTTTCAGCCTATCCGTCTGTTTGCTTCCCAACTGTAATGGCATACGATAGAGTAACGAAAAACAAGTAAGTGCCGCCGAGAGTACGTAAAACAGAATGTATACCTGAGGTAGTGTTAATGTTAGTGTAGTTCGTCGTTGACACTGTAAAACTGATATCACAGATCACATTGATGCAATGCAGCAGTACAAGCATGGATTTGGGCTTCCATGACATCATAAATGACATTAACGATAAATTCCACTGTCCAGAACCCACATTCAGAGTTGCACACTCTGGTTTATATGTCGTAATTGTCTACCATGTACTGCTGGTGCTAAACAGTGGCCCGTTTCTTGTATTATCCGCAGTTCTTGTATTATCCGCGTGCCCTTTATAATAGTTCCTCCCGTGCCCTTTATAATAGGGGAAGATGGAAGGAAACTATTGACTAGGAGATTATCGTCACTGCTTTGGTTATCACTGTTTGGTTTGCTGGTTATGCTTGTCAGGGATGATGCCATTTATGGCAAGGATGCGCTTCTCCCGAGCGTCCGTGAAAAATCTGTTCTCCGGTATCCTCTTCGAACATCGCTTCACGTGAAAAAGGTAATACATACACTGTACTGCCAGGCACGTTGTCACTGTATTCCTGTGTTCCTGTGTCCATTAGAGCTATTCTCAACGCCAATGCACCCGGTTCTGACGTACATGTACAGCTGGGGACAAAGAAATCCGACCCCCACCGTCTATTTTGCCTGGGAATGTGCATGTGATCCTTTGAAGGGTGGTGTTGTTTCTACGGATGCGGAAAACTCGGCCTCTAGCCGAGTCTGACGCGAACCGTGAATTTGTTTTTTTTGGGGGGGGGGGGTGCATGCAGTGCAAGCTGTTGCTTCAGGTGGGTCTGGACGCGGCAGCACAGTTCAATACGGAGGGCGTCAGATTTCTTTTGCCCTAATCATGGTTACATTATGAACTTACTGCACTGCTGCACCCTGTGTGTATAATTGTATTGTGTTCTCTGCTCCTTGTGCGCTTTGCTTGCAGTTCGCCGTTGAAGTGAACGAAATCATGGGTTTGATCAAGCATGCGTATAGGTTGCTGGAAGCAAAGCCCACAGACTACAAGGTAAGCTAAGCTCTGAAAGTGTGTGGTGTATATCGGCTTGTGATCATGATAGATACAGCCAGCTCATGCTGCACTCGAATTTGAAGACAATAGTATGGTTGCCATCAGGCTATGCTAGGTCATTGTGCCCCGCTTGTTCTGTGCCATTTGAACACTTCTGTTATCTTAGAGCCATCCATGCCATGCATCCTTGTTGGCAAGTTTCAGGGGGTGCTTTCAATTACTGGAGTACACACAATTCCTGGCGGTGCATACATATGCATTTGCACAAATGCTATCGTCAGAATCCACGGAATCCGATGTCACCTGGCACTTCAGTGGTCTGACCTGTGTGTTGTGTCTTTGCTCTATTCTAATGTTATGTTCTTAGCTTCTACTGACACTTCCACAGTGTGTTCAGGTTTGTGACAAGGTGAGTTTTGTGCTATTTTTTCTTTTCTTTAGTTTGATCATGATGATGTACATGTGAAAGACCATTCTGGCGTGATGCTGCTGCACTTTGTTCCCTTACAGAAATTTTGCTTTTCACACTCTTTGTACTTCTTTGGATCAGATGGTGGACGGCCTACTTGAGTGTGCTTTGGAGTTGAGATGCGGCGCTCTTTTGTGTGTGTTGAAAGATATGATATGACTGCTCATTGCATTCTTGCACTGTAGTACAGTTGCTGCCAACCCTCACTGCATCACCCATCCTCTCTCGTGCGCACGTGTGTGTGTGTGTGTGTTTCTGCTTGTACTGTGTAGCTGGAGTTGCTGAGCGCCCTGTTTGAGGACTTCCACTGTCCGGCAGTGTACCTATCTGAGCAGGCCATCATGGCTCTGTACAGCTATCACTTGACCACCGGTGTGGTTGGTAAGTAGTTGTTCAGCTTCGCTTTGTTTCTTTTCAGCTGTAGGGAAGTAATTGTTGGTGCTCGCTGCTGAAAAGAGTCAGTCGGCCTGGACTCGGTGCTTTGTTGGTACAAGTTAGCTGTGTGTCCTGACAATGGGTCTGTGTTTTGATGACTTGAATGGTACGTTCATATCAATCTTCGTCTGACATACTCATACATCTGTCTGGATTCTTGGTGGCTGCTACATGTATTGGAATTGCTTCTTTCCTGTGTCTTGTTGCTGCACAGTTGATATTGGTGATCGTATGGATATTGTGCCCATCGTTGATGGTGAGTATTAGATGGCTGAAGAAGTTACATTCATCCTGAGTTTGAGGTCTTGTGTATTGTGGCATCTGCGTAATTGTTTGTTTTAGAGTCGATGAACAGACAGGCATATTTGCCTAATTACACGGTATCTTTGTGAAGTGCACCAGTACTTTGATGTTTGTGTTATTTCTTGTCAGATCATGTGCACGTATCATGATCAGCAATACTCGAAGTCCCTCACATGCAGTGATCACTCATGGTTGTAGTTCTATTGAATTTCTGTTGCTGGTAGGTGTGATTATTGAGAATGGAGTAACGCGTTATCCCTATGGTGGACGTGCAGTCAATGAGGCTATGACACGAAAACTGGCTGAAGAAGGATACAGGTTGGTCTGGCTAGGTCTCTGCATGTATTTTATTTTGCCTTCAGCTTTACCACCAGATCGCAAGGTTATGTCACTGCATTTGGTTTGCATTAACATGAGGTCTGCGCATCACCTCCATCAAGACAATGGCCAGTGGCACTATTCTAATGTTCTATCTTCTGGCCTGCTCTTGTCATGAGTAGCACCTGTGCAGATCATTTCGTGTCCAGTCACTTTTGTAGGAGACTAAGAACTCATCTTGATGCTATCTTTCTCGAGCTTGTTCTCCTCTTCTTCTCCTTATCCCACTGTGGACCCTGTAGTCATGTAGTGGCTGAATGTGTTTTGTGTGCCCTTCAGAATGTTCGCTGATGTACAGCAGTATGTCGTCAAGTACATCAAGGAGCGGGTGAGTTACACATGGTGATGATAATGTCTGTTCAGAGAGGAACGGCTAGGCCTGGTAGACAGATGCGTGATCCTCATTAGATTTTTCTATATGAGCTACATGCTAGCTGTACCTTTTATTCCTGAGCTTTGTCCAAGGCGTGTCAGGTCACATTTTGGCGTAGTACATGTACGTCTAGCTATGGTCCAATGTCCTTTTTGTGTGTGTGAAGGGGGGAGGGGGGGGGGGGGGGGGGTGTTCGCACATTTCACGTGAGCAGGTGATCGCGTGCAAACAGCTGTAGCTGTTGTAACACCTCCATTGCTTTCTGATGAACGATGCCTGGCTGTGGTATTGCATAATGTATGTTCCGTACCAGTGTACACATCCCGTAGAGATTCTCATGTACGCATGCACAGCCAGAAGAGCGAGTGCCCAGAGCACAAGTGGTCTTGTTTTTGTTTTTACTGTGTGTGGGATTTGGCTCTTCTAGCTGCAAGTGCTGTCAGTTCAAAGAATGTAAAGGACTGTGTGTGTGGGAGGGAGGGGCCTCTAGTAGCCCTGAAGCCTTCAAGGAGTTTTGTACTTTACTTACATCCTGTGTGGTGCTTTGGGGATGTGCTTGTGCTACCTCAGGCATCTTACGTCGCTGACAATGCCGATGATCAAGACTCCAGGTGTACCTCTAACCCAGCCGAATGGACGGAGACAGTGGACTGCCGACGCTTCCGCATGCCAAGTGGTATCCTGTAAGCTCAACTTTCCTGCAGTGTTGTTTGTCGCACTCGTCTGGGCAGTATTGTGGCATGCTGTACGCTGCTGCTGGCTAGTGATATTCTCCAGCATGAATAACTTAAAGCAATGTTGATAATGCTTGGGCTGTGCAGGGGAGGGGGGGAGCAGTACGCAGCTTGCGTGGCCTTTGTAATGTTTATGAGGCACAGAAAATCTCTGCCAGATTTCTCACTTTGTTGGTGCTGTTGCTGTTGTTTCAAATCTTTATTCTCACTATGGCCAATAAGAGATGTTGTTGTTTGAAAGGGGCTATGTTTTGAAACGAAGTACACTCTCATCGTTGTTGTTGTTGTTGTTGCTGTTGTTATTTGTTGTTGTTGTTGTTGTTGTTGTTGTTGTTGTTGTTGTTGTTGTTGTTTCAGTTCTGTCAAGGTCTTGCAGTCGCGCTACAGAGCCTGCGAGGGATTCTTCGACCCCAATGTCTTTGGTTACGACAACGTGGGCATTCATCGTCTTGTTGAGAAGGCCATAAAGGCCGCTGGTATTGACAACAGGCGCGACCTTTGCCGCAATATCCTGCTCTCAGGAGGTTCTACCCAAACTAAAGGTTTGTGCTGGGGTTTGCGATTGCATAATGTTCGTTTAATATGTTGATATAGCAATACCCCATACATCGTTGAGGTAGCTATGTACTTCAGAAGAGTGCTCTCTGTCTCTAGACAGAACAGACGCACATACAACATTTCATTGAAAACAACAGTTACCAAGAAATTTCTTACTGTAATCAACAAATTTTCGCCGGTGAAAAACTTTCGCCGATCTCCAAAAAACACTTTTCGCCGCCACTAAACTTTCGCCGTGCGCGTGCCAGAGTCCAAAAAAAGTGATCACAGGCTCCACTCCACAGACGGTAAGTGCGGTCGCAGTGCCCGTATCTGGGAAATTCTGTGCCAAATGTAGCATCATTCAGCACTGCAACACAAACAGCGTTCCAGGTTTGAATCATTTTGATGAGAAATGACCTGGCTAGAGACTGTACGACCAGCACATTTGCTGAAGCAAAGTACCAAACATCGCACGACGGCCAGGCGCGTACGCAGGGGGGTTTCCCGTTGCCCGGAAACCCCCCAAATGTTCCAAACGAGCAACGTTTTTGGGCATATTTTGGTAGGGCGCACGATCGATCTGGCAAGAATGCAAAACTTCAACAGATCGTAACTCAGTCAAATCTGGCTCAAATCCAACGATCCAAATATCCAGGTCAAATAGAAACCTCTCACCGTTCGGTTGAAACAATTTGCGACGCGCTGCGAGCAATGTCTCTTGAGATAGATCGTTCGTAAGTAACTTGAGCCGCGATCTCGCAATTTCAAAAGCGCGCAGTGCGACTCTAGTATCGAGAATTTGAGACTTTTGTCACGCTGATTTGTTCAAATTTGCAGGGGCTTCACTTGTGATATTTTCAAGAGTACACAGCAAACAAATCGAAACTCTGCGATCAAGAAAAACGAAATCGCTGGAGCAGGATGCGTTTGGGCCTTTGGCCCAGTTTGGGGCATTTTTTCGCACCGTCGCTGCACTCTACCGCTAAAGCATACTAGTATAGCGCTGGATATGTACATGGCTGTACTGTGTCCTGGCTATCATGGTCGACCTCATTCTCTCCCTGGTACCTTTCCACTTCCAGGAAGCCTAAGATAATGAAGATTGAGTGAGTAGAACTGAAGTTATGATCCAAAGAACACGAAAAAATGTATAATTTTGAAAATTTCCTAGGGCTCTTTAGAAAGGGTTTTAAAAACGAGTCATTGTTTGTGATTCGGTTGGAAGCCCCCCTAGAGGTGACCCTGCGTACGCGCCTGACGGCCCAAGGAAAAGGAAAACTGCTGGTGGTACTACTGCCGTACCGACAGCTGCTAGACCAAATGGAGCATCATTCAGCGCTTCGCCACAATCTGCACTTTTTGGTTCGAGACCATGATAAAAATGAAAGCAAGGATCAAAAGCGATCACTTCTAATTCTCTCTTGCAGCAGTACGAAGCGAATTGGTTTTTTCAGACCTTCACTGACCTAGTCCTGCGCAGAGATTTTTGTGTAAGCAGTACAGTAAACTAACGATGTCGCTGTTTTCCTGGCTAAAAAAATAAATACCCTATTTTGAAAAAGAGAGCAAAACATTTTTGGCAAAAGAGTGACCCAAACTGACATTATTTGGTTCTGGTGACGAATTTCGGCCGGCAGTATTGGCCAATTGGCATTGACCCGCGAAATCAGCGAAACTAAATCGCCAGCGAAAATTTGTTGATTTTTACAGTACTTGTAAAATGAAGTAATTTTTGCCGCATTTGTCCGAGTGGTCACCTAGACACGGTTCATTGTAGCTTGACTGTAGGTCTCTTCATGTTATCTGTGTGTCTGTTTGCTTGTCTCTGTACTTTCTAGGGCTACCTGCTCGACTCCAAGCTGAAGTGACCAACTTGATGCCTGCTGGCTCACAAGTTCAGGTGCACAGCAACGAGGAGCGGCACTATGCGGCCTTCAAAGGAGCTGCCGTGCTTGCATCCCTGCAGATGTTTGACACCTTGTGCATATGGAGCCAGGACTTCCTCTCCTGCGAGCCTGATGACAGAAAGGGTCTACTGTCGCGCTGGCAGTAGAGGTCGGTGTACTCACGATTCCATCGTCTGTCTCCCTTCTATTAGAAGATTATTTTTGCTAAGGATATTTGTCTGGTCTTGGACCGCTGAGTACCCGATGCGGAGCACTGATGGCTCAGCTCCCTGTTGCATACTGTGCGTGCAAGTCTACTTTAACTCGTGCCCTTGTATCGCCTGGATTTGTTTGCACGGTGATCCACTCTACCACCACCCGTGTTTGTCATTCCGCATAGACCAGGGCCTATGCGATTAGCGACCGCCACCTACCGCTACTGTTGTTGTCAACTTCCTCAACAGATCACACCATGCCATAGTATGCTTGCTACACATGTATGTTAGCAATATTTACGTCCTCCTTATGAACGAAAAAGTTCTTGTTTCCGCAGACATACGCCGTTTAATTTTATTCTATAAATAATTCCCTTGAATGCTGCTGACACCTGATTTCGTCTTACAAGTTACAACTGAGTATGCAATGGAGCTGAATCTCTTCTTGTCCATTTAGAATGCCCACCTACTTGTAGTCTGCAGGAGAACAAGCAAGGTATTGTAAGAAATGCTGCCCCGACCCAAGTCTGTACACATGTAGTAGTCAGCCACGTTCATCAAAGCAAGTGCCTTCACTTACTCTCAGATTTTATCTCAGTATTTGCAGGTCTGCTTCTCTGCTTGTACTTGTCTATCAATCCTGCCATGTGTATTGCCGCTCTTTCACTTATTCTTTTTCTCCATCATTGGCTGTTTACCCTGTTGCATTCAGCGCCAAGTTCCGAGTTCTTTTTCTCACCCGGTCTACAGCTCGCTGCTCTGCAGTCTGTAAAACAAAGAACACATCTTGTGGACCTTCTGTGCGGCCGGTATATTGCAACTGTCTTGCCACTTTCTTCATGTTCTGGGGTAAACCAGGGAGTCGTAAAATACCGTTATTAATTTTTACGACTCCCTGGGGGTAAACCTACTTTTTTTTGTTGTTGTAGGCTAAGGACGGTTAGCCACACTGGTGTAACGTTAGAACATGGTAGAAGCTGCCTGCTGCTGTTTTTGGAGGCTGTAAGGGGCTTCTTTCAAGCTCAGGCTCAAGCTGTACCAGTATAATTATGTATAGGATAGTGCACGGATCCGAGGAGAATATTTTTCATAATCCCCAAGGCGCGCAGCGCCGCGGGGATTATGAAAAATATTCTTCCGAGGACCAATCCGTGCACTATCTGTATATAGCTCGACTTGTCAGGGGTCTGCGCAGCCATCACGTGCACGGTACACAGTTGTTGGCTTTCACACTTTTTTCAGTTGTAAGCAGGGAGTACAGTACTCAGTAGTACTTTTTCAAGCTCAACAAAAAAAGGAAAGGCAAGCTTGCAAAGCAAGGAAACATGACACAGGAACAAAACACAAGTTGACAAATGAAAAAAACCTGATCTTTTTTTCTCTTTACATTGCCTCAGCCTGCTTTTATGGATTTCTTCTTGTTCTGGTGGGAGTTCAGGCCCCACATGTTGTGTACTCTTGTAAGTCCTGATCTGTGTGTTTTTCTCTTTGAATTTCTCAGCCAATTAATTTTTGAGGGGGAGGGAGGGAGGCCGAGGCCGCTCGAGGGTGATGCCTGATGCAGTGATGGATGGTATGACCAGTGTTCAGTTTCCATGGCAACATTGTTGTTGAGATCGAGATGCGTGCGTGTTGGATTTCTTGCGAATTCAAATACAAAGAACAACATTTCTCTTGTTTAGGTTCCATAGTAAACCTATTTACGATACAATACAGTGTAATTGCTTTCATTTGTTGTTCAGTTTCCATGGCAACGTTGTCGTTGACGTTGCAGACATACAGTCATGTACTTTGTTGCCAATTATTCATGAGCAGCTGTAATTGCACGTTCACATGTCACATCCATGTTCATCTAATACAAAAAAACATATTCACGGTGCTCATGTGAGAGTTTTGTAAATATGTCCACTTGTTCAATTACCTTCCTATAATAAAGTCATTTGATTGTGATTTCACACAGCAGCTTCCAGGCTGGCTCTTTGGGGTTTGTTTGGCTAGCTTGCTTTGGCCTACTCTCGCTAGGTATAGTGAGAGCAGTCCAAAGTCTTGGGCTCTTTCCCCTCACCTAGGGGATTATGAAGAATAATCCCCTGGGTCAGGGGATTATCAGCCCTAGAACCCCTGACAAGTCGAGCTATTATGATTGAGTGGTATGGACAAGTATCCATCGCCTTGATCCAGGAGCGAGGTGCTTATATTTTGCTATCTACATGTACACTGATAATACAGTGGAACCTGTCAAGGCGACCACTCGGATTATCCGATAAGGCGACCACCTGTCCTACAAGACCGCTGCAACCAGGACCAAGGGATGGTATTTCCAGTCAAACGACCCTGGATAAGGAGACCACCTGGTAACAGAGACCACATTTTGAAGGTCCATTGAGCGGTCGTCTTAGACATGTTTCACTGTACTAGTACTACGAGGTGATTCGTAATTTTTTAACATTGCGTCATTTCTTAACAAATCGGTAAAATATCTCATTGCCAGCGCCTGCAAAAAGTCACGTCAAATTTCTTTTTGCCATTGCCATTGTCAATGTTCTGTCAAGTTCGCCTCCAAAATTGAGACTGATATTCCTTCAGGAAGTGACATTGCAAGAGCTTTCAGTCTGCATGTGCGCGATGTTTACGGTAAAATAGAGTATAAGAGAGAGTCATAGCCGCTGGTTTCAACCTCCAGTGACAATATATTTAGCTGAAAAGGAAGCATAATGATAGCTACATACTGGAAACGACGCCTGGGAAGGAGGAATGGGGTGTGTTGGCCCTGGTAATGGCCAAACATAGGCAATTACTGAATTTGCTAACAGATGTTGATCACAATTGCCGCATGATATAAAATCAGGGTGATACCCCTACTGCTATGCAAGCTTGAATGGCTTGTATTTGGATCAACATGATCTAGATCCAGTCTTGCTGGACCATCCTGGATACGTAGGGTCTCTTTCATTGAAAACTGACTTGAAATTGTGCTGCTAAGGCCTATTTTACCATGAAATGTCCACAACAAATAATATGCGGAAAAATTGCCATTTTTCAACTGCCCCCTGCTTCCCAACACCAAAGATTATGTGCATGAACAACCCACCATTGCAATCTAAGGACATCAGTATTACATTTTTGGAGGAAGAACTGGAAAGATTCGCACCTCGAACCCTACGGAAGGCTTTTTTACTTTCGTGTTAAATAATGAGGAATCACCTCGTACATGTACCGTATTAAAATATCATAATTTTGCTGTCAAGATCAGGCGCAAGGCCGGACTGATCCCTTCACTTCTTCGATACTGACATGTCGGTACCAAATAATTTAACCGCGTGATCTACTAACAAGAGTAGATTATCAGTTTTCTACTCTACTCTTGCGCTTAATTGCTTGCCAAAAGTCTTGGTATCGCCTCAGCTCAGTCCTGGTCATTGCTTTCAACATGACTGACATCACAGATTGTGACGCCGTGAGCCTGTTGTCATGTGAATGTCCTGTCCAAAAGTGCGTCTTTTTCAAACTTTTTACTACAGAGTAGATCTACTAGCACTTTCCCTGCTTTTGCCTATGCAGCGCCTAGGCTAGCCTATCTTCCAAAAGTTCCATGTATTTAAAAATGCACACAATTATTATTATTATGATCATGAAAGCACGACTCCGGGCTACAACTACAAGCTCAGTAGCGGCTACTTAGCTACTACATTATACCAGTTATACTACTACCTGGTACTGCACTGGTAGTACTAGTAGTAGTACATGTAATGGTTTGTGAGTTTATACTCAGAAATGGCTGAATCTGATGTACAACCCGGTGATGTGTCTTCCAAGGAGGATGAGGAGCGATTCATAGACGCTGTCGTGGAACGCTTACGCCACGATGCTGCAGCTGCTAAGGCTGTTAGCGTGTCGAATGTCTTTGGAGCGGAGAGGGATGCATTCGCTGGGATAACGAGTGATTCCCAAGGTACGTCACACTGTCAAAAGTACTGGGGATCTAAATCAAATCAATTCCAAAGAGAACGACCGACCTTTCTGTTGTTTTGGTTACTTTTTTTCTGTGCACCTTGGTATTTGCGGTGACCTAGCGAAGATTCACTAGCTGTGCACGTTCATGGGGGAAAAATAAAATTTCCAAAGCCAGATTTAAACCAGACCCGAACGTACTGTCGTGGACATGGAAATCCGGTCGCACGTCTAGCGGCCCCAGGGCGCTGGCGATGCAGCCGTGAGTACGAGCTCGTATGCATACACACATTCATTCATGCGCTGCAGCGCGCTGGTCGCATCGGATCAACATGTGCACTGCAGGCACCGTTCTGTACACACTGAGGGCGCCGGCCTGGGTCAATCAACTGGATTTCCATGTCCACGACAGTACCTTGCCAGAGTGCTCAAACTGACAAGTCAGTGAGCTCTGCGTAACGCAAACAGCAAAGGCACTACCCCACATGAGAGTGCTCAACTACTACAACAACTTATCTAATGTGTTGGATATTTTCGGATGCCGTTGTTGCCAGGATCGGCACAGTTCATCAGACTGCGTGTCCTGGGTGGCCGTGGATTTGCCAACGAGATATGCGAGGAGGAGCGCAGCTGCACGGCCGAGGAGAGGGCCCAGTTTGTCCTGCACTGCCAGTTTGCCAGCCAGAGGCTTACGGCACCGGCAGTACCATGCAGTGCTCAACCAGCGCTCAAGCATGACTATATTTTCACTTTGCCAGTGCCAGCAGGTCAGCATGCTGCAAGCCAACACTCCGCATCGACTAAGGCAATGCCTACAGCGGCTGTGAGGACTGGTGATGGCTCACGGTCAGCCGAGTCGCCACTCAAGGACAGGGTTTCATCTCGGCCAGTGCACAGCGCTGCAGATCTGCTGGAGAATCGGCAACTGCTTCATCTTGTGCTGGTGCGCACATCAAAACAGACCGATCCTGTGTTACAGTCATCTCATCATCTAGCTTGGAGAACGGTATGTGTAGTGACGGCTTCTTTATACTCGGTGTGCTCCACAAGAAACAAACTATCAAGTAGTGAAGCATGTTATCAATATTGCCAAGCACTTACAAGTTCCTTGCATGCTGTCACATGCCATATTCTTGGGGAAATTATAGCCATGCAAATTAATGCTGGCAGCCTCCGGTCCAGTTGCCGAAGCAAATTGCTGCAACTGAAATGCGTGTTTAAGTAAATTGACTCAAACTCCAACCAATTTATCTTTCAAATACTGTGCAGCCAAAGCACTACCTGTTGATAGCTGAAGCTCACTGACGGTGGGGCCCGGGCTGCACTGCGGCCTTTGTGTGTTTGTGTGACGCCTTTCAGGGTACTGGACACGTTTTGACCTTTGGTTTATCAATTTTTCTGCCACAGAATTGATCTAAGTTCTACAGGGATCTCATGTGAAATCCATACTGCATCCTATTGGCAGTTAGTCCTCTTGATGTTGGACTTGGAGCCAATATATCATCCTTCTAGAAGACATTATGAGGTCATGGGTACTCAGTGATATGCTGGGGACTATTCTGTATCTCTGTGCAGGTGTTGAGCAGCCCAGAAGGCTATAGTCACTGCTATGTTGAGCTGCACGGCGTGTACAGTGAGTCCAACCTGCCCATCGGTGTGCTAGAGGTGAGCAACCATATTCACTAGAGGAATCAAGATACACCGGGAAGCATACACTCCATTTAGATGTACTGCTGGGTATTGTTATGACATGGCTCTACCACGTCTACATGGCAATGTATGAACTTCTGGCGTTCTGCGCAGCTGGCATAGCGTCGGTTATGTATTGTAGGCCCTACCCCCCCCCCCCCCCCCCCTACCCCCAGTTGCTTTCAGAGAATGGGGCATGAAGCACACGGCTGGCATAAGGTGATCGATACTTCGAAAAGTATATGTCTGCCCGCCGTCAGCCTTTCCATGTGTTTAGTTCCGAAATACAGTGTATAGTGGTCAGCTGGAAGGATGCTGTTGAACACTGCAATACAGACTACCGGTATAATGGAAGGATGCTGTTGAACACTGCAATACAGACTACCGGTATAATGGAAGGATGCTGTTGAACACTGCAATACAGACTACCGGTATAATGGAAGGATGCTGTTGAACACTGCAATACAGACTACCGGTATAATGGAAGGATGCTGTTGAACACTGCAATACAGACTACCGGTATAATGGTTTCTATACCGTATCCTAAGAAAGCGGTGGACGTCACGCAACTGCATCATAAAGAAAAGGGGCTTTGTCAACTGACAACCGCTCTATTTAGTTGCTATTCACAATCGCCGCATGCGCTGGATGACAAATTAATTTTATTCGTTTTGCATATTGGCCCTTTATTGGGCTACGTGTCCTCACAGGTTGAGTTGCAGCTGATGCCACCACCGCGTGGTGAGGTGTCAGCGCAGGTGCTCTCTTCACAGCTGGAGTACGAGTATAGCTGCAAGGTGGAAGCGGACACGCTGCTCATGAATTATGTCAAGCAGTGGTGGAAGGACTACCTCGGAGTGCGCTCCTCTCATGGCTCGCGTCACGTCAAGCTCTTCGTGAAAGATGAGAACGGAGATAGCCACATGGTGAGTCTCTGAACTGCAGTATGATGATGTTTGTCCAAGAGCAGTGGATTTTTCCACTGAATGGTAAAGGCAATGCCCATGAGTCTTCGGATTGCTTAGGGTGCAGCTTTTTTTAATAATAATAATAATGCCATGACTGTTATTAAGTGATCTGATTTTCTCCATTGTGCTAATGCTGGCTGTCCATCTGCTATTGTTCAGGTGTGCAGCCTGCTGCGTCCTCTACGTGCCGGACGGGAGATCAGCTCGCCCCGTCAGGCTGCTCGCTTTGTCAGTCTGTTTCCGTACACTTCAACGCCTTGGATGGATGGCGGTGCCCATCATGACTCCAGCTGGACCAGCTGCCTGGCCTTTGTCAGTCGCAAGCACGGGGTACGGCCACACTAACGTTGTTACAGCTAGCTTGCCTGGTACTACACAGTACACACTTGTACAGCAGCTACATTGCATGCGTTTGAGCTGTAGCGTGGCATTCACAGCCAGCAGTACTGGTAGTCTCACACACCAATCTACACTGGATATGTTCACCACTGCTTCCTTTTTTCACACAGGAGAGAGAGAGAAGGGGGGGGGGGGGCTGTTTTTCACGTGTAGTAGTCAGAATCATCAAGCAACCTTTTTCTTCTTCTTTTTTTCTCCTTTTTCCTCCTTTCAGGGCTGTGAAGAGCATGCAATATTGCTATGCAGTCTTCTCCTTGG